AAAAATAGAAAACGTATTCACACTTATGCAGTGAAATTTCTTTTAAACATCCACATATTCACGGGCTGTGTCTGAATGATATACATCTTTTCTGATGAAATTCTTTCAGATGTAAATCATGTGACTCTTTTATGTCTCATGAAATAGAATATTTAAGTGACATTGGCCACGAAGAGGACTAGGGTGATAACAATTCCGGTGATTTATCAATGGACGTTATTGATGAGCAACAAATTGAAGTTTATAGATATTGTTTAAATATATTAAGCTTTAGTCGATCGACAAATGTCAATAAAAAGAATATAAAACATTTATTAAAGCTTGTTAATAATATAAATCGGAATAAAAACTTACCTGGAACTGAGAAACAATTGTGGAAGGGTGTGGGTGTGGGTGAAGATGAACACAACCACACGCACACCCCCAGCCCCACCCACACCATCCAGGTCTCTTCCTGTAGTATTTTATTCTTACAGCCCCTGTATCCCCTAGGGCAATTTTTCGTAAAAATTTTATTTTTCATTTTGAAGGGATATTTTGATACAGGGTAATAGAGAATTTAGTGCTGATTTTTACTACATAAAATTTATATCACATACTTAATTTCTTGGACGAATTCCGAAGTGCACTTGTGTAGATTTCCTATCAAACAGGCTCATTTTTTCGTATTTTCTAATGAGTTCTCTGGGACCAATCTCGGAGATCCCACGCTATTTTTTTTACAGAATTGTAGTCCAAAGAGAGTACTTCCAAGTTCTAATAACCAACGCCCCAGACAATCCATATCTTGGGAGAAAGCCTATCCTGAAAGTCCCCACATTTATCAAAATTCCGTTGTTCACGGGGCTGCCCTGAGCAAATGGAACGGTATGGATAGCTGGGGGTGCGGGTGGGTGTGAGGGTGTTGGTGTGTGGTGGGTGTGGGGGTGGGTGTGTGGAGTGGGTGCAGTGTAAGTAAACAACATCTACACCCACACACCCACCCACATCCACACCCTCATGTCATTCGTTCATTCATTTATTCATTTATTCACTCATTATCTATTTACAGCATTGGACGATAAAAAAATAGATCATTGTTTTCATTGACGATACCGGTCAAATAGAATGAGCGATTAGTCTATAAATACACAATTATTGACATTTATAAGCTTAGATAAATTAATATAGGTGAAAATAAACATGACATATTCATGCGTTCAATTGAATGCTTTACCCGATGAAATTCTTTTGATTATTTTCAAAAAATTGAACAATGTCGGGTACTTCTTCAGATCAACGACACCTCCTCGTATTGGTTGAACAATAAACAGGAAAGGAAAATTTTCCTCTCCTGTTTATTGTTCAACCAATACGGGGAGGTGTCGTTGATCTGAAGAAGTACCCAATGTCGAAGTATTTTCCTCTTTATTCAACGTCAATAAGGCTATGAACACACTAGACGAAGTGATTTAACTTAAATCAGAATTGCGTAAGTTGATTGGTTAATTCATATTTAAATCATCTTTTCGAGACGATTTAAATATGAATTAACCAATCAACTTACGCAATTCTGATTTAAGTTAAATCACTTCGTCTAGTGTGAACATAGCCTAAGCGATTAAATAAAATTATACATGATTCAATTTTTACTAGTAAATTAACTTTATTAAAATATTTGTTGCATGATTCTACCTATTCATTACCTGATACACTACTAGATCGGTTTTGTAGGGAAATCTTACCGGAAATCCATCATAAAATAAAATGGCTTACTCTTGAATCATTATCTATGAAACGCATTCTTCTTTCTACAAATTATCCTAATCTCGATGGACTTGGTATATATAATATTAAAAAGAAAACTGCTCTATCTCTCTTTACTGGTAAGATACTTTTATTTCAAATAGAACCATATTAAAAATTATTTATTTTCTCAACACTTGTCTTTATGTTTAGATGAGATTACTTTTACTGATGTATTCAAAAATAAAATTTTATCATTTGTGATTGAAATTATTGACAAAAATTGTTACGAACCAAATATGAATACAATTATATTTACAAATATCTTGAAAAATTTTACCAATTTAAAATATTTAAATTTTAATCCATCTTTTATTTGTGATCAACATATATCATTCAATTGGTTATCTCCAACCATTTTCTCTTCGTCTTTGCTAACATTGCATGTCAAGGTATCGTCTGTTATCGATTGTCTTCATTTACTTGATGGTCGATTTAATCAACTCCGTACATTATATGTTCATACAGAATCAGCGTATTCTTGTCAACAATCCTTAAAAATCAATAATAAAGTAAATTTTTATAAATTTTTAATTTGAAAGAAATTAAAATTGAAAAAAAAATACTTTTCTAGGATAAATTGCCAAATTTAATATTTTTTTCATTGTCTTCTACTGTGAAATTAGATTTGTACGATGAAATAATCATACCACTTTTACATCGAATGTCGAATTTAGAAATACTAGTGTTGTATTTTCCAGTCTCCAGCAGAAAAACATTTATCGATGGAAACCATTTGAAAGACATTGTCAATCATATGCCACAATTAAACAAATTTTTATTTAACATTTGTTCATTTATTCATCTTAACAATCAAATTATTTTACCATCAAATGAAGATATTCAATATTCATTTAAAGATTTTAATTATAATCAAATTATTTCATGTGTTAATTATTTTTCAGAGGCGCAATTCGGTGAATGTCATATCTATTCATATCCATATACACTGAGACATTATTATTATATAAGAAATAATTTTTCAGGTGGATTATTTAAATGTGTTCGTCAAGTATCATTATATGATGAACATCCTTTTGAACATGACTTTTTTCTTCGAATTCAAAAATCATTCCCATTTATCGAAAAATTAACTTTATATAATAAGAAACCACAAAACAATAAACAATATAGAAAATCAAAGGAGGACATCGAACATCTATCGATCGTTGAATATCCTTATCTTACCAACCTTATTTTACATGATGCTCATTATAATTATATTGAAGAATTTCTACTTGATACCAAAACATGTTTGACAAATGGTGTTTATCTCTGTGTTAATTATAAATCTTTAAAAAAAGTGACACGCAATTTTAAAAGAGATGCAACACAAATTAATTCTAATAAAGTCAATCGTTTACATATTACTGCTGATTTCAAAATAACTGAACGTTTGAAAGATTATTTTTCTCATGCAGAAATATCTAATTATTATGGATTCATTTGAATAAAATTCATTTCTATAGAATGAATCTATTAGAATAGAGAATAAAAATTGTTTTATATTTGTTTGAAAAAAATCTAAATCTATGTACATATGAGAACGATCACATGTAATAACATACGATTTTTGCAACAATTCTAAAAACAAAAGTTCTATTGTAAGAAATAATAAATTTTATTTGGAATAATATTTCTAACTCAACTGTCTTAGTATGATATAACATGAAATATGTTTTTGAAATTGAAAAATAAAAATAAAATTGAAAAGTTGGGAAGAAAAAGCTGTTAGTGCAACGTTTATGGGATTAAAATATGAAACAAAAAATGAATGCTTTAATAATAGAAGGAGACATATAATACAACAGTTGTTTTATTTGTCTAGATAAAAGTATAGTTTTTCTTTCTTTTTTCTTCAATTCGGAAAAATATATATTCTTCACAGTACCTTATCAAGATATTTAATTAATGCTCGAAGTGAAGTACCATGAGTACATAAATACATTTTGACCGGAACGAATTTGTGATACATATTATCATGCTGATAAGATGATGCATGTACAATTGCATCTTTTAAAAATTCAGTTAATGGTAATAGACGTTTATCTATATTCTAGAAAGCACAAAACTTGTTTTGAAAGAACTTCTTTGTTTCCTAAACTTAATATTTCGTAGATTACAGAAGAAATATAGAACATGATTACTGAGGACCTCTGTCGACAAGATAGAGGTTCAAAATCAACAAATTATAACAAAACTTGTTTCTGTTTCTTGCGGGTTTTTATTTCAGCAAATTTTATTCTCAATATCTAGGGTGTGGGGGTGTGGGTGGGTGTGGGGGTGTGGGTTAACAGACCATGTAGACCCATTCCCACACTCACACACCCCACACTCCCACACCCACCCACACGCTTCCTAAATCTTTAGAAACATTAAGAATTGAAATAGTGCTTAGTTTGTGCAAATGCTCACAGGTGACTACTCTGCAAAATGTTTCTCTAATTCATTTAGCATCCATCGATATATAATAGCAAAATGTACGATACCTTAAGTCACGATTCGACGTTTTCCTGAGTGGATTCGCAATAGAGTGCTCTCCAACTCAGAAACCCAACTCTCCAAGTAGAACTTGATGAGCTCTATCAGAACCATGCCTCACTTCTCTCCTTCGGCCCTCCCCCCCTCCCCCTCCCAATTACTGCATTCCACAGAACATCCTCAATTACTAGAAATAATCATTAAAAAACTGTCAAAAATTCAGAGAAATGTGTCGTGATTCGCCCAGAAGTACTCTCTGACGAAGAGACCTAGCTCTTCAGACAGATCCCGACGAGCTCTATTGATTGGACACGTCATTCACTCAATTCGAGTAAGGAGCGCAAAAGAAAGTTCCTAATTAAGGCTTACTTAGGTAGCTATTTTGAATTAACCGCGTTACGATTCGTTCATGAGAGCTCTCTAGATAGATATCGTTTAAAAGAGTTGATTGTAGACCTTATTCACTCGATTCGACTAATGAATACCTAGGAACAGCACTAATTAAGGCTTAGTTTATTGATTATTTTGAATTAACCTCATCAAGATTCGTCTAGGAGTACTCTTCAGCAGGAATACCTAGCTCTCCAGACAGATCTTCACAAGGATGAGTGTGGGCTGTGACTGTTTACGCTTCTGAGTTCAACACCCATGCCTCACGGCCACACCCAAATTTTAACAGAATACACTCATAAGTTATAACTTTCAATATGAAAATTATATAGAGTCGAGATCAACGAATAGTTGAAAAATAATGTCTAGACTTTATTAATTGCTTACATAGACAGTTCACATATTATTGCAGGTGAGAAATAGTCAATAATATCTTAGATATTATTTATCGTCAAAACCAATCCATATCTTTAAGTTTGCTGTATCTTTGCAATGAGGAAGTTGACAACAACGAATGATCAATAGATTGAATTAATTAAGTTTATTGACGGATTTTCTATACCAATATAAACTGAATTCTACATATCTTGCTTCAGTGTACCTTGATTATCTTCTGGCCAGCCCTGTGTTTTAATTACTGTTACCACAAATGGTTTGTGCCTAATTGTACGACGTTGAAATGATGTACCCATTAGTATCCTAATTATATAGATTAGCAGCAGCTGTTTCAATTTCTTCTTTTTGTTTTCTAAAATTCACCTTGGTTACA